CGATGTTGTGCGTGCGGATGAGGGACGAGAGCCTCCGCACATCCCCCTTGAACACGCACTCGTGCACCGGGTAGTGCGCGGGGCCGCTGCCTCCGGCGGCGACCACGGGCGACCACGGCGATGGGGCCGCTGCCCGCGAGAAGGGCCGGGGGCTGGGGAGCGGCTTGTGCAGCGGCAGGGCCGGGGCGCCGAGGGCGCCGGAGGAGGCCGGGGCCGCCTTCAGCGGCAGCCGGTGGTGGTGGTTGCTGAAGATGCGGTGGTAGGCTTTGCCGCCCTTGCCGCCGGCGCCCACCCGGCCCCCGGGGAAGGCGCCGCCGAGGGCCGCCGCCGCCTCCTCGTCGCCGGGCTCCAGCAGGTCCCCCTCCTCTTTGCTGGGCTTGTGGTCCCTGCGCAGCGAGCGGATCTTCTCCCCGGTCATCGCCGCCGCCGCCGCCGCCGGGGGCAGGGAGGGGGCCCGGGAGGCTCGCCGCGGGCGACGGAGCCGGCGCTGCGGCGGCGGGAGGTGATTAGAGCGGCGGCCAGCGGCGTCGGGCGCAGCATGGACTCCCGGAGCGCCCGCCAGCCCGGGACACACGCATCTCCCGCGGCGAGGAGAGCCGGCGCTCGCCTGGGCTCCGGAGGCGCGCGCTAGTCGGAGGAGCTAGAGCTCCAGTGCCCACGATACCAGACTGCAGTCACCACCGCCGCTGTCCCCGGCGCCGCCGCTGTCCCCGTCAGCCCCCGCAGTCGCTGCCACCGTCTCACACCGAAAATCAGGGCACGGCCATCTTGCCTCTGCTCCTCTCGCGAGAGTTCCCGAGCATGCGAGCTGGGGAAAAAGCATCGCGAGAACTGAACTGTTCCCGCTCCCTCCCTCCTTCCCGCCCTTTTCCGGTTGCCCCAGGGCTTCGCGTTGCCTCCCACCCTGAAGGCTGCGTGTTCTCCCTTAGATGGTGTATCTGAGTCGCAGGACCGGGACCCACTGGTCCCCGCAGCCGCGCCTTTTGTGGGCGCTCTGAAACCTTGGCCTGTTTTGGAGAAATTCGATGCGCGCTTTAAACGCCGACTTAACCTCGTCGACATATGCGGCTCCCGCGGAGTTACGTCACTGCATACCGGAAATGACGTCAACGGGATACCCAGGTCCTTCATAAACATAAGCCAAGCGTCTAACCTCTGGCCACGCGGAGAGCTAGTGCGCTCGAAAATGCGGCGCCAGGGGCCGGGAAGATAGCTCAGTAGAATAAGCACTTGCCTGGCAAGCACAAGGGCCTGAGTTCAAGCCCCAATTCCGAAAAAAAAAAGAAAAATCATCGAAAATCAAAGCACTGCTGAGAAGGAAAGACCGACATACAATTGTGGGTGTAATATTTAACTATGTCAGAAACAAAGCAGAGGGGGCGCTGTGTCGCGCAAAGCAGGAGGGGTCTTTTGTCATGTGCCAGGAGACTCCATCCTAGAAGTAAGAGGCTGACCTCTGGAAAAACGATGGGCTGTTCGGACAGCAGAAGGGAAGTCTCTCAGATCCCTACATGACTGAATTTGGGGCAGGTGGTCAGAGATAAATGTGTCAAGCGTTCTAGTATGTCGGGGACAGCGTGAAGTACGTTGTCCAGTAACTGCGTAGAGCACCACAGCCTCGACCCATTGCCCCCTTGTACAGAAAGGTAAATGGAGCAACTAAAAGTTTGACAAAGTAACAAGCTACCCGGCGCTGAGGCACAGGTATGTGGGGAGAGACTGCAAAAACTCTCGAAGTCTTGGCGGGGTTACGAGCTGCACACCTGTAGTCCCAGCACTCGGAAGGCTGAGGCAGGAGGGTCATCATGAGTTGGAGGCCAGTGTAAACTGCATAGCAAGACCCAGTATCAAAAATAACAGTAACAACAAAAATAATAAAGCCCTTTGACAGTCATGCCTCTCAAATCTCTTCTTGAACTTTATTAATACCTGTACTTCCCAACCCCCACAAAAACAGGGCTCCTTTGAAAAGAAGTTATTAATTATACCTGGAAGAAATAAAAATTACATCAGGAAATCATTCTGGTGCGGTTAATACCAGAACTGTTTAAATTGTATGTCGGTTGGCCAGTTGAGCAGAGGGAAAAGACGTGGGTCATAATTCTAATAATCGCGATTGTTTATTTAGAGTTTAGCTCGCATTAAAGGAAGCAATCTGTCGCCATTCTGGCCTGAGCACTGATCACATTAAACCTCCCCTAACTTGCTGTGCTTGTGTACCTGCTGGACATGCGTCATCGTGGGTTGGCAAGGCCCAATGGCCACAGCTACAGTCCTTCGATCCATTCATTATTCAGCCTTGTACCTGAAATAGAAGAATGATCTCGTAATGTGATGCCAATTTCTTTTTTTTTAATATGTATTTGGTACAGAGTCTCACTATACAGCTCGGTTTTGAAAGTAATGATCCTCCTGTTTCAGCCTCTTCAGCACTGAGGAGGGATTACAGGCAGGCGCCACCGCACCTAGTTTGTGCTATTAATTTCTTCCAGGTAGAATTAATAATCTCTGCTTTTTCTGCCTTACTTTGAGAACTTATGCAATTCCGATTCTTTTTTTGGATTTTTTGTCACAGGGTCTTGCTTTGTTAAAGCTTACCTTGAACTCACTATGTAGGGATTTGTGCCTGAGAAATCATTACTCAGCCTTGAGCTGATAAGTAACCACAAGTCCCTGTGTGTTCCCCAGCATGCCCCTAAAAGGTAACCAACCCCTTTTCACTGAACTCCCCACCCCCTATGCCCATGACTAGGAAAAACCCTATGGTCCCCAGGAGAGTAAGACACTTTGGTCTCTAGTGTGTTTTAAAGTAAACCTGTCTTATGAACTTACAGCTTTCCTTTCTCTTTTTCCTAACAGTAAGTACTGTTGCAAGCACATCTTTAAACATTTGATTTTTTTTATTTAATTTTTATTTATTTGGGGGGGGGGCAGCTCAGCCCACCAGGAGGCGGCACTGGCTGGCATGTGGTGCTGGGGGATTGAACCGTGGTCCTTGTGCTTTTGTTGCAAGCACATCTTAAGCACGAATTTAACCATTGTGACTCCAAGGTACTCCCCATCCCTACTTGGCAGATGAGGAAAGTGAACTAGAGAAAAGGGCAGCTCAGCCAATCAGGAGAACTGAGAATATAAGATGATGTTTGAGAATCACTGGAGCCAAGGAAGTGACAGGAAAAGGAGGGGTCTCTGAGATGAGAAGGGGAAGCTGTGGCTTCCTCATGAAACCCGACTATAGGAAACGGGTTCTCCAGGCTCAGGCTGTGCCACGGAGATCCAAAAGATTTCAAATGCAGGGAGACAGAATCACATTCTGTTGTAGTCAGCTAAATTAGATAGAATGTAGACAGGGCCAAGCCCTCAAGGGCAATATGGAAGATAAGGTGACTTTGCAGCTTTGGAAGAGAGAGACACTACTGCTTTGGGCCAGACCTCAAAACAAAAGAGTAAACAAATGCAGCCACATACTTCCCTAGGGATGGGCACCAGGGATTGGTATTCTACATAGGTATCAATCACCTTGGAAGATCCCAAATGAGTCACTAACCCAACCCCCAACAGGAAGAGAACCTGTCTCATGCTCTTGCCTGCTAGGTATACAACTAGCTTCCTCATTTGATACTGGATCTAATCAATATTACCTGAGCAATGGTGCTTGTAATCTCATTGGTTGACCACAGTTTTGTCCCACCTCATGCCCACCTAAGGAAGTTCCCGCATTCTCTACCACCTTAGGCCCACCTTACTGCATGGCTTTCCCCCTATAAAAGTCCCTGGAAGAGACAGCTTCCCCAAGACCACCTGCTCGGAGGTCCCCCTCCTGTCCCTCTCTCTGACAGGAGTTTTCTTTCCCCCAATAAATATTTTTCCCCCAATATATATATTCTGCTCATAGCCTCTGTTCCTAAAATTCATTGTTTTGTATTAGAGAACACGAACTCATCCCAGGTACCCTTCAGGTTGGGAATTTCATTTTTCCCGTACATCAATTTCAGCATCATAACATACAATCACCTGTGCCCAAATATGTCGCCAGTCTTTTCATTGCTAGCCCTCACAACCAGGTAGCTGCTGTCAGCCCTCGCCTTGCCCTCCACACAGCGCACGCGCTGCCCATTGTGTGGGAACTCACTGCATTTCACACCTAGGCAATGCCTTCTGTCTACCAATAATTGTACAAATATTCTCTTTGCACAAGGTTTTGTTTTGTTTTCTTTATTTTTCCACTTGGCATAGAAGTCTGGACCAGGAAATGACACTGAACTAAACCTCCAAATATAGTTTAGTGTTTCCTGCTATTTTAAATGTAAGAAACAAACCACAATCATATCTGCATTAGCAGGATTTATGGCTTTGCAACTAAAAGATACCATAGGTGTCTTCATATTCCATAACAGTTGCTGCAAATAACTCAAAATACCATTTATATTCATTATTACTAAAAATTATGTTCATGGTGCCCATTAGATTTTTTAATGCATCAAGCAAAATACATATATATATATATAACAATTTTTAAACCACAAATTTGGTTTTAAAACATATTTGATAATAATTGCAAGACAATGCATTCCTTTGTATTTGAAATATTTGTGATGCATTTAGAGGCAGCATTGTTTTTTGTTGTTTGTTTTGGTTTCTTTTTTTGGCAGAAATGAGTAGAGGCAACATTCTAAAAATGAGTCACTAAGGTTCATCAAAGGGTCAAAGGGGCCACCGATACTCCAGTTTCCTCCTGTGCTGGTCTTTTGAGTATTGACCAATGGAGCTAAGTGTCTTTGCTGTGCGCAACATACCTGACAGGAAATATTTAAAGTTAGTAATAAGAGGTTGTTGAATTAATCATTTAGAACATAGAATCCCAAAATATCTATAATGTACTAAGACAATTCTAACCTCAGTGACGAGATGCTACCTGAACTTCTTAAGTAATCCATATTAGACTTCACTGATGTTGAATATCACTATCTTGGATTCTTATTAGAAGTCCAAGAGTAGATATATTATTATTTAGTAATGCAGCAATAATAATACTTCTTAAAGTAACAGTAGAGTATATTCAAGTGGAGGTGGCATGAAAAGATGTATCGACTCACCCAGTGGAAACAGCTTAGACGAATCTTCAGGAATGGCTCTGTCCGAATGCTTGGTCAGGTGCATAGAGCGTCGCTCAGCCCATCTCTCTGCGTGGAGCATCCTCCAGGGCCACCACCACCAAGGGCACATCTGGCTGGTCCTAGCCTCTCCTACCACAGGAGCAGGGTATCAAGTTTGGATTTTGATGGTCACAGGGCAACCCTATCCAATTTCAGGTCCTTCAGAGTGCTGATTGGCTCAGACCTAAATTACAGGAACAAACCTTGGAGAGGCCCTAGCCAATTAGGACTCAGCTCTGAGAAGGAGGTGGGCCAAGCTCTCTACAGACCAGAACTATTCCATAATGGGCAAAGGTGCATTTGAATGGGGAAGGCACAGGCATGTGCAGTCCACAAGAAAT